GCAGAAGGTGTCGCCCCAAAGGAGATTCATCAGAGAATGCAAGCTGTTTAGGGTGATTGCGTTCATGTGTGTACTGTGCGTCGTTGGGTGAGTAAGATGTTGAGATGGGAACATCTGTCTTGAGATGGGAACATCTGACTTGCGTGACAAACAAAGAGTTGGACATCCTGTGACAGCAACCACCGAGTTTCACAAGCAAAAGTTTGACAGATAGATTCAGGACGATCATCCTATCACTCAGGTTTTAAAACCTGGAAAGACCCCAGGACTGGATGGGTTGGGACCAGAATATTACAAAAAAATTAAAACATTATTGATACCTAAATTAAAAGATCTATATAATAAAATAATAAAAGGAGAAAAAATTCCACCATCATGGGAACAATCATTGATCATTTTGATATTAAAACCCAATAAAGACCCTACAGACCCAGGATCGTACAGACCTATCTCATTAATAAACCAAGATGCAAAAATATTAACCACCATACTGGCTAAAAGGATGAATAAATTTATATATAAATATATTAAAGAGGATCAGTGTGGATTTATAGGAGGAAGGCAAATGTCAAATTTAATGGGGAGAGTATTAAATGTAATTCATAGTATTTAAAAAAGAAATTTAGTGGCAGGAATATTAGCTCTGGATATTTATAAGGCATTTGATAGTGTATCCTGGCAGACAATGAAATTAATATTAGCTAAATTTGGATTTGGAGAAAATTTTAGAAACCTAATTGATAAATTATATTCAAAAAATGATGCAGTAATGGTGAATAATGGTTTAACAGGGAAAATAGATATAACACGAGGCACGCGACAGGGATGCTCTCTTTCCCCAATTTTATTCGCAATTGTAATGGAACTATTAGCTAATGTAATTAGAGATGACAGTAGTATAAAAGGAATAGGAATAAAACAGAAATATAAAATAAATTTGTTTGCAGATGACACCCTTTTATCAATGGAACATCCAATAAAACAATGGGAGAAAAATAATAGAATTTAATAGAATTTGGATTAATGACAGGGTTACAAATTAATTGGAACAAATCAGAAATGCTGATATTTAATTATCGAGAAGAAGAGATAAAAAAATATAAAATAGGAGGGGAAAATTAAAATCAAAATTAAAGAAACAATTAAATATTTAGGAATAAATATAACTAAAGATTTAAAAAACTTGGAAATAAATAATCTAACCAAATTAAGAAAGGAAATTGATAAGAAATTACTGGAATACAATAAGCTCAAATTATCATGGTTCGGTAGGATAGCATTAATTAAAATGAAGATATTAACCAAACTAAATTTTCTATTTAGAATGTTACCTGTAAAAATTTCAGATCAAGAAATAAAAATCTGGCAAAATATGTTAAATCTGTATTGTAATGGGAACAAAAAAGCTAGAATAAATAAAAGTTTGTGGTATCTTATCACTCAGAGAGAAATTTCCAGCATAATCAGCATTTCACAAGAACTTGTGGGTCACATTATTGCTTTGCTTGGTTATCGGAAGGTCTGTGCATGATGGATACCCAGGATGCTGACACCTGAAATGAAAGCAAACAGATGTGAAACTTCAGAGACTGGATCTCACCACCGTACGACATCCTCCATAAAGTCCAGATTTAGAACCGTCTGACTTCCATCTGTTCCCCGATAATGACAGAAGATCTGAAGACATCATTATGCTTCTGATGAAGACATTGAGAGAACTGTGAGACGCTGGTTGCAGAAACAGAGTGTCGACTTCTTCTGTGACGGCTTCAGAAAACACGTTCATCGTTGGCAGAAATGTATCCAATTGTCTGGTGATTATGTGGAAAAGTGAATCGTGGTAGTTACAGAGCACATTCTACGGATTATTTCTGCGATTGATTTATTAAAATATTCCCATCCAAACCCAAGTAATGAAGGTGGAGGCATTACTTTTCATTCAACCCTCATACATCATTCAGGTTTCACTGGTATTCATATCTGAATGTCAAAATTTAGATCTATAAGCAGAACTTGGTGGGAATTTACAGTAGAGTTCTTATCCTCACATAAATAAATACTATGCAGAATGTTTTCAGGATTTTTTTTTTTATCGTGTCAGGAGTGAGTTGAGAAACTGCAAGTCGCTTCTGTTGGGAGAGAATTGGCCGTCTGCAAGGACGTTGCCCAGGGGACGCCCGGATGATTTGATGTTTTTATCATCCTTGTGGGAGGCTTCTCTCATGTCCCCGCATGAGAAGCTGGAGCTGATAGAGGGAGCTCATCCGCCTCTCCCCGGATTCGAACCTGCGACCTGTCGGTCTTCAGTCCTGCCGGCACAGGGGTTTAACCCACTGCGCCACCAGGGGCTCCGTTTTCAGGATAAATGGTCCTGAGGGGATATAGGATTTTACTGTTTCAAGCAAATACCAAAATCTGATGGCGGAAACTTGTTGCAGTTTCTTCTTGGGTCTAGTGCTCACAACAAGGGAACAGTTGGAATTCATAACAGGAAGTAGTGATTAAGAGGTTTGCCTGCCTGAGTATCAATGAAAGTATTGATTTCAATTAAGCAAGCCACATATTACATATTACACATATATTAAATAAGGTCCTGATTCCAAGGAGCCCCTGGTAGCAGAATGGGTTAAGCCCTTGTGCCAGCAGGACTACTGACCGAAAGGTTGGTGGTTCGAATCTGGAGAGTGGGGTGAGCTTCCGTCTGTCAGCTCCAGCTTCCCATGCAGGGACATGAGAGAATACTCCCACAGGATGGTAAAACATCCGGGTGTCCCCTGAGCAATGTCCTTGCAGACAGCCGATTATTTCACACCAGAAGCAACTTGCAGTTTGTCAACATGAAAAAAAAAACCTGATTCCAGGATGACAGGAAACTAACAGAGGGAATGCAAGAACGAAAATTTGAAGGACTATCTGTGGTTGGGCATAGGTACAGCAAAGCAGATTCCAAAATTCATCCGAGAGGCTGTAGTGAAAGGGGGTTTAAAGGAAAAAGGAAATGGACTTTTACGATTCCCTATCTTTGTCATCTGAAGAAGCATCGACAAGTTTCTTTGGTAGGAATGGAGCAGACATAACTGGGGGGCTTTTTTCCGTTTTTGATCAATACAAGCCTTGAATAGGATTTTTTTTAAAACCATCCCTGTCATTGCCTCTTTTTATTGTATACCTGAGTGATCTTAAATATCTTTCTATATATGTGTACCTTTTATTTTAATGACAAAGATTTTTTTAAAGGTATCATTACACGATTTAAAGCTGAAGTGTTGCTGTGTTCTTGGGAAGTTCTCAATGGCCTCATACCATGTCTTTGGTGTCGTTTCCTTTCCCCACAATTTACTTTTAATTTTATCCTTGTTATCTAATAAATTATCATTGAAGAAAATAGTATCGCATTCTTGATCCCTCACCCACACTTTCTCAATGAGCTGGTGGAGTTGTTGTGTCAGCTCAGGTCTACCCTCTTTCAAGATTTCAGCAGGGATCCCATCAGGTCTGCTGGCTTTGTTATTTTTTTGTTGGGTGATTGTCTCAGTCCACACTCAGTTATCTAATAAATTATCATTGCAGAAAAGTGTATAGCATTCTTGATCCCTCTTTGAACAATGAGACCAAATGTGGAAAAAATGTGGGATTCTGGGAGGGTGTCTTCTGAGACAGGTAAAAGGCAGTTTGCAAGGATTCCTGAGAGGATTTTCCCAGTGGTTAGAAGGGAGATATCTCAATAGTTTCCGCAGTCTGTTCTTCCCGCTTTTTTTAAAAGGGTGATGATGGTGACATCCTTGAAGTCTGCTGGGATTTTCTCATTCACCCACACTTTTTCAATGAGCTGGTGGAGTTGTTGTGTCAGTTCAGGTCTACCCTCTTTAAAGATTTCAGCAGGGATCCCATCAGGTCTGCTGGCTTTGTTATTTTTTTGTTGGGTGATTGTCTCAGTCCACACTCAGTTACCTAATAAATTATCATTGCAGAAAAGTGCATAGCAGGGGTCCTCAAACTAAGGTCCGGGGGCCGGATGCGGCCCTCCAAGGTCGTTTACCTTGCCCTCACTCAGGATCAACCTAAGTCTGAAATGACTTGAAAGCACACAACAACAACAACAACCCTATCTCATCAGCCAAAAGCAGGCCCACACTTCCCATCAAAATACTAATAATTTTATATATTTGTTGAAATTGTTCTTCATTTTAATTATTGTATTGTTTTAAAGTGTTTTTGCACTACAGATAAGATATGTGCATTGTGCATAGGAAGTCATTCATGTTTTTTTCAAATTATAATCCGGCCCTCCAACAGTTTGAGAGATTGTGACCTGGCCCTCTGTTTAAAAAGTTTGAAGACCTCTGGTGTATAGCATTCTTGATCCCTCTTTGGACAGCAGTGTGTCAAACGTCTCCCGCTACACCATTGATACTACTATCTTTATTTTGAGTAGAGATGTGATTTTTTATTAAATTTTAGGTGTGATTTAGAGTTGGCATTCAAGTCTGTGGCACTTTGTTACTCCGAACATCCAAGAGTGGTTCTAAACATGTCACAAAAAAATCAAAATACACAGCAAGAGGAAACAGAATTATGAGAATGAAGTAAGTGTCGTGTTTCAATTCTGGCTATACAAAAGATATAGACCACCTTGGCTAGTATGGGAGGTTCCTCAATAGAAGGATGTATACTCTTAGTAAGGCGGTAGTATCTGACCACATTTGGGAAAAGCCATTTTTGTTTGAATATTAAGGTCTTGTTCGCCACGTAACAAACTCCCAACCATTCAGAGTGTTTGCACTATTTTCCTTTTTCTAGGGTTGTGCCATTGAACGCTATACAGAATTTCGTACAACGGAATATTGTTATGCAAGGACAAATAAATAGAATTTAAGAATCGTATCAGCTTCAAAGAACCCCGTCTCAATTATCATATCAAAGTCTCATGCCATGGCTTTTTAAAAACCAAAATAGAAGCCCAAGGAAGATCTCATACCAGTTCCTGAGAATAAGTAGTAATGCCAATTGCGATTTTGGATGTGAGCCTAGAACTCAAGTTTCTTCTGGCTTTTGCTGCCCATTGGAAGCACTTGCAGAGGACTCACTCTTGTATAAGGTATGCTCCTGGCTGTTTTGTGCAACTTTACAAAGCTGAGGCAAATTCCTGAGGGTGAAGGATGGCTCTGGAGGTAGGTTCTGCTGGATGTATTCCCCATAGCGTTTCCTCCTGTTCAGCCTGTATTTCCATAGCCTCTCCTCTTCGGCAACGGGGTCCTCCAGGATCCCATCCCAGCGGAGGCTTTCGTTGGATGCCTCCGAGTCATGTTGGGTCAAAACCGAAAATGTCGGAGTGGAGGTAAGGAGGGGGTTTCCTGCTCTTTGCCCTAGAATGGCTTTTGTGGCATCATCTTGTGGCATGCTGGGATGCTTTCCTGATCCAAAAGAAGAATATCAAAGAGTAAAGAGGAGTGATTTTGCAGAGAGCAGCATCAACAGACCAGTAACCTATAACAACCTGTGTTGAAAATGGTGGCTGACGAGCTATGCAATTCGCCAACCTAATTAAGGCTATTAATTACAATTACATGCAAAGCAGGTGACTATAGCATTGAATGAAACATGCAGAATAATCACACCTGTTGATAAACTCTATAAACTAGCTGGCATTTCCCCCCCTGATGTGCGATGGGAAGTTGCTGCTAAATGTGAGAGAAATAAGGTTGAACACTGTGAAAGCCACCCACTACATGGCTACCAGCCTCCTCCCAGTAGACTCAAATCAAGGAAAAGCTTTATGAGAACTACCACTCCATGCAGACCAGGGGAACATAGCATTGGATGAATGCAGAATAATCACAGGATGTCTTAAACCTACACCTGTTGATAATCTCTACAAGCTAGCTGGCATTGCCCCCCCCGATGTACAACAGGAAGTTGCTGCTAAAAGTGAGAGAAATGAGGTTGAACACTGTGAAAGCCACCCACTACATGGCTACCAGTCTCCTCCCAGTAGACGCAATCAAGGAAAAGTTTTATGAGAACTACCACTCCTCTTGACATCCCCCCAGCAACAGCAAGGGTATTCCTCTGGGCAGCTCAACCAGGAAATCCCAACTGGACGGCCCCCCATGAGGGAGGGTCTTCCTCCAGGGGCAAACCAAGAATGGGCAACTTGGAAGTCCCTGAACAGACTCAGAAGTGGAGTGGGCAGATCAAAAGACAACCTGGCAGAATGGCACTACCTAAAAGAATCCCACACCTTGTGTGACTGTGGAGCAGAACAGACAACTCCACATCTGTATGCTTGTCCACAATGCCCTGCCTCATGTACAGAGGAAGAATTGTTGGAGGCTACAGACTATGCCGTTGCTGTTGCCCATTTTTGGTCAAAAGATGTTTAGCTGTCTGCGCTCCTATTCTTATCAGTTTTATACTAATATATGCAATGCTTTGATACAAAATAAATAAGCCTGTGCTAAGTCTGAGGCCCCAGTAATCGTCCTTGATACATTTTTAACAACTGGGCTCTACAGGCCCATGGATACTCCACCACAAGCATCAGAAGAGCTACAAGAACAAGCCAACGAGAGATCCACCCAGAAGAAAATGGTTCTTGCCATACATCAAGGGAACCACTGACTGCATAGGAAAGCTTATGAAGAAACACAAACTACAAACTATCTACAGACCCAGTAAGAAAATCCACAAAGCCTATGTTTGGCAAAGGACAAGAGGGATCATCTCACCTCTGCAGGAGTCTACCATATACCATGCAGCTGTGGACAAGTCTACATAGGGTCCACCAAACGCAGCACTCATACATGAAGCAAGGAACATGAAAGGCACTGCAGTCTAATTCAATCAGAGAAGTCGGCCATAGCAGACCACTTGATGAACCACTTGATGAACCACTTGATGACCACTTGATGAACCAACCTAGACACAGCATATTATTGGAGAACACAGAAATGCTGGAGCACTCTAACAACTATCATGTCAGACTATACAGAGAAGTCATTGAAATCCACAAACAAGTGGACAATGTCAACAGAAAGGAGAATATCACGAAAATGAACAAATTCTGGCTACTATTATTAAAACACTCTAAAAACAGGACAGTAAATAGAGCAACACTCAAAAACAGGGGAATTCCAGACAAGAATTAATCAGGGCCAGCTAACACCTCTCAACAAAGGATCCCCCCTCCCCCCCAAGGCAGGAAACAGCCAAGGTGGCCAATTGCAACATTCACACTTACCTCAAACAGACAAGAAAATCTTTCTACCACCCTGGACATTATTCACAGATATATAGACCTCACTTGCTGGCAAAAGTATGATAGCTGGGACCCTACGCTACGTTATTGCGCAATGTGCATCGGAATTAATGAAGGGAAGACGTGTGCAACACGGGTCAGAATTAATGAAGGGAAGACGTGCATGAGACAGTGGAGCGAGAGAGACGCAGCTGCGACAGGATAGCAGTGGTGCAACAGGATAAATGTGAAGTAATGTAAGAGTTATTTAATGTAAAATGATAACCAACGACTTATGAAGACGGTAAATGGGATAGAAATGTTACCTCTCCCCCTTTCTGGCAAACAATGTTGCCACAACTCTGACGCAGCTGCGCCTCTCACTCTCTGCGCTGTCTCGCGCACGTGTTCCCCTCATTAATTCAGACCCGCATTGTGCAACCAGCAGAGGGTCCCAGCTATCATACTTTTGCCCATTTGCCTAGTTTCTAACAGACCTCACAACCTCTGAAGATGTGGGCGAAACGTCAGGAGAGAACGCTTCTGGAACATGGCCAGACAGCCCATAAAACTCACAGCAACCCAGTGATTGTGGCCATGAAAGCCTTCAATAACACATTAAAGCTGAGTGATTTTGCAGAGAGCAGTGTCAAAAGATCAACGATCTATAATAACCTGTGTTGGAAACTGTGGCTGACCGGCCACGCAATTTGCCAACATAATTAAGACTATTAATTACCCGTGCTAAGTCTGAGGGACCCAGTAATTGTCCCTGATACATTTTTTAACAATATAATTATCTCTGTGTAATCATGTGGTGTCCCATTTTGTGAGTCCGTTATGCCCTCTACTGTTTATTCTGGGGAATTGCCATCCGTATTTAAATCAGTTCTGTTCAAAATACAGATCCATTGATGCATGCATGCAACCTGTTAGCTGCTGAACCACGAAAAGAAGGAAAAATACAACTATATATATATATCTATATAAATAAAAACGTAATGTTCGTTTGTGGGATTAACATAACTCAAAAACCACTGGACGAATTAACACCAAATTTGGACAAAATACACGTATCAGGCCAACGAGTGACCATCACTCATAAAAACACTGAAAAAAAGCAGAAGAGAGTTTAAAAGCCAAAAAAACAAAACAAAAAACATTACAACGCAGGCGCAATACCACATATATACACGCAAACACACATATTCATAAATATATAGATATACATATACACATATATACAAACACAAAACACATATACACAGACTGGGCCACAGCAACGCATGGCAGGGGACGGCTAGTATATATATATAAATGTAATGGCTGTTTGTGGGATTAACATAACTCAAAAACCACTGGATGAATTGACACTAAAATTGGACACAAGACACCTATCAGGCCAATGAGTAACCATCACTCATAAAACACTGAAAAACACAGCAGAAGACACTTAAAAAGCCAAAAAACAAGAAATGAATTACAACGCATATATGTGCAAAACCACATATATACACAAACATACATATATACACAAATATATACACACATATATGCACACACAAAACACATATACACAGAAAGGGGGAAGGAAAGAAGGAAGGAAGGAGGGAGAGAAAGAGGGAAAGAAGGAGGGAAGGAGAGAAGAAAGAAAGGTAGAGAGGGAAGGAAAGAGAGAAGGAAATAAAAAAGTGAAAGAAGGAAGGAAAGAGAGAGGGAAGGAAGGAAGGAGAGAAGGAACGAAAGAGAGAAAGAGGGAGTGAGGGAGGGAAGGAAAGAGACAAGGAAGGATGGAACCAAAGAGCAAAGGAAGTGAGGAAAGAAACAGAGAAGGAAGAAAGAAGAAGGGAAAGAAAAAGACGGAAGGAAGGAAAAAGAGAGAGGGAAGGAAGGAGAGAAGGAACAAAAGAGAGAAAGAGGGAGGGAGGGAAGAAAGGAAGGAAAGAGACAAGGAAAGATGGAACCAAAGAGCAAAGGAAGTGAAGAAAGAAACAGATAGAGAAGGAAGAAAGAAGAAGGGAAAGAAAAAGACGGAAGGAAGGAAAGAGAGAGGGAAGGAAGGAGAGAAAGAAAGGAGAGAAAGAGGGAGGGTCTGCCACTGCAACGTGTGGCGCGTACAGCTTGATAGTAATAAATAAACATTATTAAATCTAATAACATGCAATCTAAAATGGCTGCAGCGGTAGCCTTAATCATCAAGCCACAGCAGGCATGGGCAAACTTGGGCCGTCCAGGTGCTTTGGACTTCAATTCCCACAATTCCTAACAGCCTCAGGCCCCTTCCTTTCCCCCCTCAGCCTGAGGCTGTAAGGAATTGTGGGAGTTGAAGTCCAAAACACCTGGAAGGAGGGTCCAAGTTTGCCTATGCCAGAACTACAGGTATGAGTTCTTTGAATGTCAATAACCTCCTATCTATATATTGTGGAGCGACCCACCATGATCCTGGCTGCCCTTCTTTTTCCCTTTCTTCTTCCTTGTTTTCTTCTTGCCTGCGGGCTTATGATTTTTGGGCCCCTCGCCTTCAGAAAAATCAGATTTTCTGCTGGCTTCGTGTTCCTTCATGTGCGGCTGATGCTGAGCCTAAAAAAAAGAAGGTAAAACAGGTAAGGAGGAAGTTCAACGTGGATCCACAACACCAATTTGTATCTGTTTTGCACCAGTTTCGGAGTTTACATTCTGAAAAAGGAGGAAACGTGAATACTAACGCTAGTTTCGGACTGCAAAGCTACAGTTATTGCCCTCAGAACATGATTCACTCTGAAGGCACATCTTCACATTAGAATTAATGCAGTTTGACGACACTTTTAATTGCAACGGGATTGCCGGAGTTGTTGTTTTACAAGGCCTTCAGCCTTCTTTGCCAAAGAGTGCTGGCGCCGCACTATAAACTCCAAATCCTATCATCCCATGGCAGTTAAAGTGGCGTCGAACTGCATTAGTTCTCCAGTGTGGATGAGCCGTGATTTCAACTCCTTCTTGACTTCTCCCATTGCATTCAGCCATGGCAGTTAAAGTGGCGTTGAACTGCATTGGTTCTCCAGTGCAGATGAGCCGTGATTTCAACTCCTTCTTGACTTTTCCCATTGCACTCAGCCATGGCAGTTAAAGTGGCATTGAACTGCATTAGTTCTCCAGTGCAGATGAGCCGTGATTTCAACTCCTTCTTGACTTTTCCCATTGCACTCAGCCATGGCAGTTAAAGTGGCGTCGAACTGCATTAGTTCTCCAGTGCGGACGAGCCATGAGTTCAAATCCTTGACTTCTCCCATTGCATTCAGCCATGGCAATTAAAGTGGCGTCGAACTGCATTAGTTCTCCTGTGCGGACGCGCTGTGATTTCAACTCCTTCTTAACTTCTCCCATTGCATTCAGGCATGGCAGTTAAAGTGGCGTTGAACTGCATTCATTCTCCAGTGAAGATGCACTGATAATGAAACTTATAGAATCATAGAATCAAAGAGTTGGAAGAGACCTCATGGGCCATCCAGTCCAACCAAGAAGCAGGAATGTTGCATTCAAAGCATCCCTGACAGATGGCCATCCAGCCTCTGTTTAAAAGCTTCCAAAGAAGGAGCCTCCACCACACTCCGGGGCAGAGAGTTCCACTGCTGAACGGCTCTCACAGTCAGGAAGTTCTTCCTCATGTTCAGATGGAATCTCCTTTCTTGTAGTTTGAAGCCATTGTTCCTTGTCCTAATCTCCATGGAAGCTGTAAACAAGCTTGCTCCCTCGTCCCTGTGGCTTCCTCTCACATATTTATATATATCTCCTCTTATCCTTTTCTTCTTCAGGCTAAACATGCCCAGCTCCTTAAGCCGCTCCTCATAGGGCTTGTTCTCCAGACCCTTGATCATTTTAGTCGCCCTCCTCTGGACACATTCCACCTTGTCAATATTTCTCCTTCAGCAACCTGTCCTCAAATAATTATACATTGTTTCACATTTCAGTACAATTTCCTCACAGGAATGGTCCCATTTATCAGTTTTCTCTCAGAATTTGGTCCTGAATGCCTGAAGTTGCCCATTAATGGCTCTTTTCACAGAATCCTTCCTGAATGACCCTCTTTCTCCTCATTTATTTAATGAAAAGACATTAAATATATGAGGAGAAAGAGGGTCATTCAGGAAGGATTCTGGTGCCATATATATCAGGAAGGATTCTGGTGCCATAGATATGGCACCAGAATCCTTCCTGAATGACCCTCTTTCTCCTCATATATTTTCTCCTCATATATATATATGGCACCAGAATGTACATAATGGGATACTAGATACAAATGGTCCCTCTCAAGGGGCTATTTTGCCTCGGGGAACCCACCAAACACGTCACTCCCTCCCCCTCCCTTCACCAACTGCCCACCGCCCGCCATTTTGTATTCACTGCCCATCCTTCCATTGAATGACAGGCGGCGGCTCCCCTCCGGATCCCTCCGCCAGCGCCGAAGCTCCGCCCCTTCTCTCCTCCCTCGTGCAGTTAGACGCGTCTCCATGGCAACGAGCGGAGGGATTTTTTTCAAAGTCTGTTTACCTCCGCGCTGAGGGAAAAAATAGTCCTTGGCCTTGAATTCCAGTTCTGCCCATTTTCAAGTCTTTCTTGTGAGCTAAACCTGGCTTCACCCTCTTTTTCAACCCCCTGCCAGGAAGCAGGAATATTGCAATCAAATCACCCCTGACAGATGGCCATCCAGCCTCTGTTTAAAAGCTTCCAAAGAAGGAGCCTCCACCACACTCCGGGGCAGAGAGTTCCACTGCTGAACGGCTCTCACAGTCAGGAAGTTCTTCCTCATGTTCAGATGGAATCTCTCTCTTGTAGTTTGAAGCCATTGTTCCGTGTCCTAGTCTCCAAGGAAGCAGAAAACAAGCTTGCTCCCTCCTCCCTGTGGCTTCCTCTCACATATTTATACATGGCTATCATATCTCCTCTCATATCGCCTTCTCCAGGCTAAACATGCCCAGCTCCTTAAGCCGCTCCTCATAGGGCTTGTTGTCCAGACCCTTGATCATTTTAGTCGCCCTCCTCTGGACACATTCCAGCTTGTCAATATCTCTCTTGAATTGTGGTGCCCAGAATTGGACACAATATTCCAGGTGTGGTCTAACCAAGGCAGAATAGAGGGGTAGCATGACTTCCCTGGACCTAGACACTATGCTCCTCTTGATGCAGGCCAAAATCCCATTGGCTTTTTTTGCCGCCACTTCACATTGTTGGCTCATGTTTAACTTGTTGTCCACGAGGACTCCAAGATCTTTTTCACACGTACTGCTCTCGAGCCAGGCATTGTCCCCCATTCTGTATCTTTGCATTTCGTTTTTTCTGCCAAGTGGAGTATCTTGCATTTGTCACTGTTGAACTTCATTTTGTTAGTTTCGGCCCATCTCTGTAATCTGTCAAGATCGTTTTGAATCCTGCTCCTGTCCTCTGGAGTATTGGCTATCCCTCCCAATTTGGTGTCGTCTGCAAACTTGATGATCATGCCTTCTAGCCCTTCATCTAAGTCATTAATAAAGATGTTGAACAGGACCGGGCCCAGGACGGAACCCTGCTTGTGGCACTCCGCTCATCACTTCTTTCCAGGATGAAGAGGAAGCATTGGTGAGCACCCTCTGGGTTCGTCCATTTGGTGCCGAGAGCCCCCGCCCAGTAATTGGTCTGCACTGCAGCGGAGAGTTCCGCAGTTCCTGGTAGCAAATATTGGAAAGAAACTGATGTAATGTGACCCAACAGGCAGCTCCAACTAAGAGTGTACTCAGCCTCTGTTACTTTCCCTCTAGCCCTGACTTTGTAACCAATCCTTGATAGAGGCACTTCAATTTTGCAACTTTTAACTTTTCCGCTTGATATTTTGTATCCTTCCCTGCCTCAAAATAACCCAAACTTGAAATAAACTTCTTTCCAGGCTCCAGGCAACCGCAGGCCCTCCTGGGATGCCTTCTGGGCGTCCCGGGGAGGCCGAATCTGCATCAGTTAAAACCGCGGATACGGAAACTTTCCTATTGGACCCCCGTATCCGCTAACATCTCAAAATGGCGGATCGGCCCCGTTTCAATTTCATATTTTTCTATACCCGATTCCTAACTAAACTGCTATCTCGCTTTTCTCACTTTGGATCCCTACGCCCGGGAAATAATTGTTTTGTTTTAAAGAATAAATTTTAACAGAAATCAGCTGATTGTCAAACTCTGCCGGCTCTGCAGCAGCAGTCCATTTCTCTCAGTTGCTGTTCGTTCCTGCCTAGCCCCGCAGCCGGGGACTTGCTGTGGATGCCCCCAGGAGACCTTGGAGAGGGGGCCGGACAGGAGACCCAGTCCTTGAGAGGGAGTTATGGTTTCCCAAGGACCGAGCGATGGATCTTGTTATTTATTAACTCAGCGCCCATCTGCTAACTTCTGCCATAGAAAATGACTCTTTCTTGCTAGACTTGGACTGCAAGTCACCTCCACTTCCGCGAACGTTCCCCAGGAGCATGGGACTTCGAGTCGTTTTTTAATAAAAATCAACTATTCTAATAAAATGATAAAGATGTGGGGTGGGAATGGGGTTTTCCTTTATGAACTTTGTATAAGAAAAATGCATGAAATGTCGTCCGTTAGCTTCTGTCCTAAGTTCTTTTAAATACACACTCAGGACTGGCAGAAAGGCAGTTTAGAGAAATTGCCCAAGCCTCCTTCTGCAGCCTATGTAATAAAAATAACAAAAGTTTTGCAAATTACCAAATCTTGCTTGCGTATAAAGCTGTCTTTAGTCTTTAGTCACTAGAGGGTGGCAGAGAAGCGAGTAAGAAGCAGCAGATAGGAAGTGAAGGTTATGAGTGGTTTGTATTGATTGAGGGTTATTTGGAGTGAAGAGGAATGCTTTATTGTGCTTTTGGATTGCAATTTGCATTTCTAGACTTTTGGGGTAGATTGAAAGATGGTTTATCAATCTGCCATGTTTTAAGTGAGGTTCTGTACTCAAAATGATTGCTGTAAGTATTGTCTTGAAAAGTACACCTACATACGTCAATCTCTTTCTTCATTTCACACCCTCCAACTGTCCCAACTTGGCAAGGACAATCCCGGTAAGTCTCTGCCTTCCCATGTTCTCCTTTGCCTTTAAAACATCCCAATTTCTCTCCCCTCCATCTTGCCCCCTTTGCCCCTGACTTACTTTAGTCACTTTAAGACATGATCTTCACTGCATGACAGCTCCAAGAAAAATGCAGGGAACAAAATCAACCTCTGTACGTGGCATTCATTGACCTTGCAAAGGCATTTCACATAGTGAATCGCAGTGCTCTCTGGACCATCCTCCAAAAACTCGGGTGCCCTAACAAATTTGTGAACATTCAGCAGCTCCCCCGTGATGACAACAGTCTTGGACAGCAATGGCTCCCAAAGTGACCAATTTAAGGTGGAATCAGGTGTCAAACTGAGATGTGTTTTTGCCCCAACCTTATTTTCCATTTTCATCGCTATGATACTTCATCTGTTGATGGAAAGCTTCCCACCGGAGTGGAAATCATTTCTCTGACACATGGCAAGCTATTTAACCTCACCAGACTGAAAGCCAAAACCAAGTTCACAACATCTGTTATAGAACTCCAATATGATGATGACAATATCATCTGTGCACATGCAGAAGAAGACCTACAAGCCACTCTAAACACCTTTGCAGAAGCATACGAG